TAGAGCATTTGTGTGGGGACACACACAATCGACTGTATAAAAACGCTTTCTACAAAACCGACTTCTATAAATTCGACCTAATTTCGTAGTGTAGACATACCCGAAGACTGATGCACAGAATTCATTTAGCTTCTTTGCAATGGCTTTGTCTTCCCTGAGTGCTTCTTTAGCACCTCAATTATCCAGTGGCCTCACTGATTGTTTGGCAGACTTCCTGCTTCTGCTGTACTTTAAAAAAACTGCAGTTAGTTTTTGAGTCTTTTGCTAGTTGCTCTTCAAATTCTTTTTTTGGCCTGCCTAATTATACTTTTACACTTCACTTGCCAGAGTTTATGCTCCTTTTTATCTTCCTTGGTAGGACCTGACTTCAAATTTTTAAAGGATGCCTTTTTTCCTCTAACCACCTTTTTACTCTGTTCTTTAGCCATGGTGGCATTCTTTGATCCTCTTACTAATTTTTAAATTTGGGATAAACATTTAATCTGAGCCTCTGTTGTGGTTTCCATGCAGCTTGCAGGCATTTCACCTTTGTGACTGTTCCTTTTAATTTCTGTTTAACTAGCTTCCTCATTTTTCTTTAGTTACCCTTTCTGAAGTTAAATGCTACTTTGGTGGGCTTCTTTGGTATTTCCCCCCTCCCTGCCCCACAAGATATTAAATTTAATTATATTATGGTTACTATTACCTAGTGATTCATCTATATCCACCTCTTGGACCAGATCCTGTGCTCCACTTAGGACTAAATCTAGAATTCCAGGACTAGCCACTGCAAGAAGCAGTCATTAATGGTGTCTAGAAACTTTATTTCTGCATCCGTAGCACGTGTCTCAGGACAGAAGTTAGATATAGTCAAAGATTGTCTGAAAAGGAACTACAACAGGTATGACAACCTGTTTTTATGGAAAAGTAGGTAAAGAGACAAGTGAGAAAGCTATGTTTTCCCTAGCCCTCCAGACATATGTGACAGTCAGTAGAAAAAGGAAAAAACTAAACTAATTCAGGTGAAATCCTGGTCTTAATGAAGTCAAGGGCAAAACTTCCCAAATATATTGTTTCCACACAGCCATGCTACAGAAATCAAGTACATAGTCAAAAAGTAAACTTATTGAGCAATAACTGGCAATTAGGAAGCAGGTGCAATTCTCTCAAGACTTACATTCCATAGCTCAAGGGTGTAACCTAGATTGAACTCTTTGGGGCAAAGACCATTTTTTTAATAAGTGCACAGAACCTCTACAATGGGGCCGAGATACTGATTGGAACCTTGGATGCTATACAAATAATAAATACTTCTCTCACTAACAATTCTTAGTTCCTCTCTACTTTATAGAAAACATATTTGTAGATGGATTTAGAAGTACTGGTATCCTGAAAAAATATTCAAATCATTTTTTAGAGACTTAGTATAAAGAATCAAACTTCCTAGATCCAGTACAACAGGGGTCGGCAACCGGCGGCACACGAGCCAATTTTTACTGGCACACTGCTGCCAGCTGGGGTCCTGGCCGCTGGACCTGCTCAGCCTGCTGCCGGCCTGAGTGAACAGAACCCTTGGCCAGCAGCAAGCTGAGCGCGGCCGGTGGCTGGGATCCTGGCTGGCAGGAGCCAGTGGCCAGAAACCCAGACCGGCGGCAGTTCTGTCTGCCAGCCACACTCAGCCCGCTGACGGGCGAAGTGAATGGAACCCCCTGGCTGGCAGGAGCCGGGTGAACCACTGCCAGTCTGGGGTTCTGTCCGCTACCTAGCTGAGCCCACTGACAGTCTGGGGTTCCAGCCACCAGCCCCTTGCCAGCCTGCTGCTGGCCTGGGATACCAGCAGCCAGCCCAGCTCACCTCGCTGCTGGTCTGGGCTTCCAGCCGCCCGGCCTGGGGTTCCAGCCACCCAGCCCTTTGCCAGCCTCCGGCCCTGCTCAGCCCTCCCGCCAGCTTGAGGTACCGGCAGCCAGCCCAGGGCTCTGCTCCTGGCCTGGGCCCAGCGCTCTGCAGCCCTTATCAAAAATTACACTACAATTAGCTTAAAAACTTGAAAACTTTGTATATTACAGTAATCGTTAAAAATGTATAATGTTAATAAATACATAGGTTTGATGAAACAAAGTAGTTGCACTTATGTGCCTGTGCTTAATTTGTGTTTTTCATGATTTACCTTCTAAAAACATCTTGCATGTCTCGCACCCCCAGAAAGGGCATCTTGCACCCTAGATTAAGAACCACTGCACTAAACTGATAATATCTGCATTTTAATTTAATTTTAAATGAAGCTTCTTAAACATTTTGAAAACCTTGTTTACTTTACATACAACAATAGATTAGTTCTGTAATATAGATTTATAAAGAGAGACCTTCTAAAAATGTTAAAATGTATTACCGGCACGTGAAACCGTAAATTAGAGTGAATAAATGAAGACTCAGCACACCACTTCTGAAAGGTTGCCGACCCCTGCAATACAGGGTGGTTACAAATTAATTTAACCAGTTTCAGCAAACCTTCATTGATTTGGAGTGCTACTTTCTCTTGTAGCTCCAAGACATCAGATAATTTATGCATCTAACTGGGTAAAGCTACAAGCTACTCCATCCACTCTGTCCTGGAAGTCTTTGTGTCAGCTGGAAAAGAAGAGAAAGCTTTAAGACAACTACAGCAAGGGATGAAGCAGAGGGGTCACTATGACTGGTTTCTCCTCTTCCTGAGAGTGCATCCGATTCTAGATCAGGTAGTACCTCCTATCTAGAGGACTCAGGTGGAGGAGGCTAAAGAATCTCCACAGGATCCTTCATCTTCTTTGGAGGAGACTTCCCAGGAGGAGGACACCTATGCCTCTTTTCACTACCTTTCGCTAAGAGACCACCGATGCAGAAGGCAGAGGATCATAGGGCCTCAATCTACAATACTTACACAAAAATATATTATGGATCTGTACAAGGAGACACCTGAAGCACCAGATTTTTTCCTCTATTATGAATCAGGCTCGCCGGGATGTGGAATTGCAGCAGTGTGGGATGAAATCAGCTTATCAGAGCTAAGAAATCCACCACATTAAATTTGGATCCAGCAGCAACTGTATACATCCTAGATCCTTTGAGAAAGAGAGCTTGAGCCAGACCCTGGGTTCCTAATAGTATCAACACACTTATCCACACTCTGCTGAGGGGAAGATAATTCCATAGAACATATTTGAAGGAACTAGTCTGACAAGTCCCCTGGCAGAAATAATTGAGGCTCTGCACAGATGACTGTTTCACATCATCCAACAGGGCTTCTATCAAGTCTCTGGAGAATGCTGGGTCAGGCGATTTGACTAGACAAGTCCAGCAAGCACCCCAGTGCAGACAAGTGATCTGACTACATCCAAGAAACCCTATAATTCTGAAAACTCCTAGGATTTGGAGATGCTTACCCCTCTGGGATACAGCCAGATCTAATGGCAATATCTTGCCAAATAACGGCTTTTTCTCCCCTGTGGCCTCTTGGAACTAATGGCTGAAACTATAAATCATTCTTTCCTTGACTTCATCTAAAGAACACTGATACCCTGAATGGAGTAATTTTCCTCAAGGCAGAAAAGGCACTTTTCATGCCTATCTGATGTAGGATATAATGCAGGGCAAGAGAAAAAACGTCATAAAATCTTTTTATTTGTTTAGACTTATGTGCAATATCTTGCACAACACCAAAAATGACCTATATTTACCCCCAAATATTTGAGGAAACATTTGAAAAGTAAAAATAATAAAACAAACTTTTTGGCCTTCAAGCAAATACAACCTGCTCATCAGTGGGTGTCTATCCACTGGGCAGGACTGGCAGGAATATGGAAATGTAATAATGCAGCTTTTGCAGCATTAGTGTATGCTTGAAAACAATTTTGGAAAAAGTTACTACAGTACAGAAATTAAATTTGTGCTGGAAAAGTAATCAACACTTTAGCTAAGATTAAGATCCCAGGGTGCAGCCAGTTCAACCAGGCTAGAGACTGGAGAGAAATTCAGGGGACTGGGGAAGGAATCCTCTTCCCCACACAATAAAGTGCTTGCAGGAACACTCAGCAGAAGCTATTTTACCTCAATGCATCTAAAATCCCTTATGGGGGAGGAAGAATGGGAAGATCCACAGAGCAGCATGCCTCCCACCCCATGTACAGTACTTTATTGCAGAGGTGACTCATACATAAACAGTGTTCCATGCTATGTGGAATCTCTTTCTCCCTTAACCTCCCACACTTGTGAGGCTACAGAGAAGGGAACTGGATTTGCTCCATTGACTACAAAAAGGGGTTAGTACCTTCCGCATGGGAATAAAAACAGCCAAAAGGAGGAATGGATTATTATTATTATTATTATTTTACATTTACATCCATGAATAAAAAACACAACCATCACAACTTGGGAAAGCCAGACCATAAACTTCTACATTATTTTGTGGTTTCAGATAATATCATGGTTCACGCAATCTCTAATGTAGTAGTTTAAATCATCATCAGAAACTTCAATGGCATGAAGTTTAAATCATCATCAGAAACCTTACATAGCTTTGTAAATTCCCAGCAAATTTGCATCTGTTCTGCTGATCAGGTTTGATCCAAATAGCAAGGATTTGAGTTAAAGCAAGAACAGCCTTGTGAAAGGAAAAGATTATACAGGAAGTTTAATAACTCAAGAAGAGTCCACAAATAAGAAACATACATCAGACCTATGTGAGATTCAAGCTTTCCTTTTTTAATAATCAAACTGCGATGTAAAAAAAACCCACACAAAGTGTAAAAATATTCCTAAAGTAGAAAAACTATACAAAATAAAATATAATCAATAAATAATGGAATTGCTAAAACTAAAGCAGTGAAATGAAATAAAACCAAATGAGTAATATTACATTTAATTCAATTCTCAATGCACTACTTGTACATAAAGCCAATAAGGATTATCAGTAAATTCAGGTTGTCTTGGTTGCTTAAGTATCCGTTTTAAAAAAAGGATTAAATCATGTTCTAAAAGCAACTTACCTGTGACGTCAGTTTTGATGTCAGCAAGCTTAAAGAGAGGTGCAACTTGTTCGCAATAAACATGAGTAGCTTCTCTTTTATGACTGTTTGGGTTAACAAATACTTTTAGGGACTTTGGTCTATTTGGAAAGCCTAAAAAAAAAAAAGCACAAAAGGTTTCAAGACAAATACCATTTGGATATTTTTACAGGTGAATCAAACTTTTTAAGCAAACATCCTTGAGATTACTGGGAAAGCTTTATGTTTTTTAAAAAACTAAACATATTAATAAAGTGTTTTTGACTTGGTTTGAGGGTAGTAGTTATAATAAACCCAGAGGCCCTTACTGTCTTCTTGAATGAGTGTGCTCATTATTTTAATCTGACCCTTAATCCTGGGGCCACTGAAGCTCTGACCTGCTTATTAGTCTACAGCTAAGAATAACCAGTCGGAACAAGTTAGTCACCACCACCTACATCATTACGTGCCAGTAACAGTGAGTCTGATTTTGAGCTGTAAAAACCGAGGACTGCTCCGTAGAGTAACTGTTTCTTTGGTAATTATCTACAATGTATGATTTGAACAAATTCATAATGAATACTAAAGTAAATTAATATCTGTACATGCGTGCTCTCTAATAGAAATACCTACATACATATATGTGCTCTGTGCAGTACTGCCTTCAAGTGTAAATTCAGAAAACATGTAGTACAGTTTGTTATTCATCTGTAAGCTTGCATAAGGGTTCAAGAAGGTTGTGAGGGAACAGCATTAATACTAGCAGAGCTGCTGAACATAACGCTTTCAATATGAAAATGCCGTATGCTCAGTTGTGCTAAGTGAAAAAATTATCTCCAAAGCCAGAAAGAGACATAACTAAAATTTTACTTCTCACCCTAAATGGGACATAGTTCAATCCCTAAAGCCAGATACATCTTGCAATTGCTGATTAGGATCCCTACCCTTTCTTCACTCACCTTACTTTGAAGATTGAAAAGGAATAACACAAAACATCTGAACACCCATCTGAACATTTGAATTTTAAAAGGTGCCTATACCATACTCTAAGAGATTCAACAAATACTAATAATAAAGCTATTTCAATATCAAGGAAAAAAAAGATATTTTTGCATTGAAGACAATTAACTTTTCCAAGTATCAAAACCTTAGAAAACTAGGAATAAAAATAGCACGACTAACCCATTTGTCTTGAAGAATGTAAATTAAAGGACTAAAAGTATTAAAGAATGTTTACTGTATATTTTCATATTCACTGAAAACTGAAAGGAAGTATAGAAAATCTAGCCCAGTTCTTCAAATGTTGATATATAATCTTGTCAAGATTAGCTAGGAGCATCAAAATTAAGGACACAACAAAATAACCTGATGCTGGAGGAAGCAAATGTTAATCACAAATCCCTTCTTCCATAAAAGCGTACAGTAACTTTAAAACTAGTTAATCCACAATGAGAACCCATACAAAACTAGAGAGACTACTATGACAGAGACTCAGCATGTTTACTGTACAAATTTACAATAAATGATCTGATCTGCTCTTCATTCATCATTGCAACAGTCTGGCAGAGTGAATCACTTTTGATAATTATCCCTTAACATACTGAGGACCGCCAGGATGATATGCAACTAGAATAGGTACAATAGGAACATGAAGCAAAAATACTTGAGAGAAATGAATCTTGAGTGTTATACTTGTTTTAGAAAGTTTGGTCATATGTACATTTGAGAATCGGCTTCAGAGATTCTTGAGAAACTATGCTTTAACTTAAAGACTAATTAGAGTTCCCCCACCCCAGAAGATCTGTATATTTTTGGCATTTAGTTTCCTTGTTTTTCAGATTCCTCACATTATGGTGATAGCTCGTCAAGCAGAAGGCAGCTGGACAGAGTTACTTCTAGAGCCTTTCTACTCCTTCCTTGAATAGGCCAGGATGTGTCTTTTGGTCCCAACTGCTGGTTAGAGAGGTCTCTTGAACTAGAAATTTACTGCCTTCATGCCTGAATGGACACTGCTACCAACTATCTCTGATTAAAGGCACAAGGGCAGATGTGAACCTGAAGTGGGCATCCTTAGAGACACTACTCGAAAAAGAACCATCAGGTATGGCTCATCCTGGGTATTTAGATCATGTATATCTTTACATCCTGGAAGAACAATCCTTGGTTTTATGGTATTATCTAAGAGAGCATCAGACAAAAAACAAATGTGTTGGAAAAAACTTCCAAACAATTCAATTATAAATTTGCATGACTTATCCAGATACATTTCCATAGAATTCTCAAGGGAACCTGATGCTGGGCTCTTTTCCTCTTCCAATATCACGGATTCTCAAAGAATAGCTAGCACTCTTGCAGTAGATGAATCCTCAAGAGATATCAGTTGAAGGCATGATTCTCCTACAGAAACAAATATCTTCACAGAGAGGATACTAATGGCCTGCTCCCTTCTTCCAGGTATATGTCCTTCCTTCCCTGAATATCTGTACTTCAAACAGAATACTTAAAAAACTCCTGGTAAAATCCACTCAAAAGACAAGCCATATTTCATCCAGAAGACAGTCTGTGTCATTTTGGGTTCAGCTGCTGAAACTGACATTTATAGCATTTGCTATAACCAAGGTATATGCTTTTATGATGTTTCAATATTGAGTAATATGTGTACTCAATAATGTTAATGATTACTAATTATTTTTATTTTATATTAACTAATTTTTTAGACTATGAGAAAGCAAAACAAGGAAAGCAATGTAAAAATATATTGCTGAACCACCATAATAATGTCATTATCATAGTGATATAAATAAGCAAAACAGCGGAAAACAAAAGGTTATCAGGCTGTTACACTTCATAGTTGCTACTATAAGACTGTTAACTCAAGTAGTTTACTGTAGAATTACAGTGACCTCCGATACTATCTTAATATTTTACAAGTAGATAGACTATAAAGAAGTAATCAGACTTAAAAATGTAAAAATATAATATAATTAATTAGAACAAAAGTGGGACAAAAATTCATTTTCATGAATTATTACTTTGTCTAAAGTATAAAGAGAGAAATCATGCAAGCCTGTAGCAGAGGTAGGATTCCTATGTTTCCAGTATTTTTACCTGTGGTGAAGTAAGCTGGCTTCAACCAACTTGGGGGGGAAAATAACTGTTTAAACTTTACACCATATCACCATTTTAATTGTATGTTGTCTAATTTGTTTGTAAAATATATATTTAAACTACATGAACAAACAAATCTTACTATGAACAAACTGGGGAGAGAAGAGTTAGGGGTTGTGAAGGTTTGTACAGAATATGTGAAAAGGTGGAGAACTTTGAGGTGTTGGAGAACTGTACGGATAAGACATACACAAAGAATGGAGTTATAATTTCACTACCTGCCCAGGATCAGGAGAAAGGGTGAGAGAGAGAGGCATAAGAGAGATAGAATATTGCTACCCCACTTAAACTTTAACATAAAAAAATTAAAGTTTTAAGTTTTCCAAGATGCCTGTGCCCAAAAAGGACTATGCAAAGTATTAAAGGAATCTGGGCATTCAAATAAGGATAGGTATACGGCACATTTTAAAATCTTAAAATGGTAAATTTTAGGAGACTTACATCTGAAAGTTTCATCATTTTACCACAAATTCATGAGTGCAATTTTTTCGCCCTATAAAGAATCTAAATTGCAATTCTAAAAATTAACAAATTGGTCTATCATTTAAATCTGGATTATTCTTTTCTTTAAAAAGTGAACTATTATTGATAAATAGATTGGAGATATTATATGGATCCTAATGTGATTCATTGACAGGAGAGAGCTGTTAATAAAAAGAATAAATCACAATAATGTTGTGTTGTATACAAAATTTCTGCTTTTTAAATATTAACAACTTAGCTGGTTTAGGAAAAACAAAAAGAGCTAAAAAACCAAAACTTTATTTATAAAAAAGCAAGCATCATTGACTTAAATTGACCAGTCACATGCAATTGATTGTTCAATATTTCAGCATGAAAAAATATACTACGCTGATTATATGATTTTGCGTGTACTAAATGGTTACCAATAAACATGACTGGAAGGTGATCATGACAATAAACACTGGTTCAGGGGAACAGTGGGGAAAAAAAAGTTTCCCATCCCATAGCAAGTGTTAAAATGCAGCAAACGGGCCTGGACTTCTGAATTACGTATTCGTCAAAAAACAATTTCACCTTTAATGAAAAATTTTGTACAAAAACAAATTATGAATTGAAATCTTCAGAAAATCTCTTGAAATTAATAAATAATTATTGGTAACTCTTATTCCCAACATATACAATAAATAAGATTTACTACTAATTTGAAGCTGACTTCAGTCCTTCAGCCCTCAGGTATCCTCACAAACTGATATTCTGTTATATTGTTTACCGTAGCTCCTCCATCTGAAGTGGACTAGCAATCTAAAACAGAATGGCCAACTGTTCCTCTGGTACTAACACATGTGCTAATATGCACTAGTTTAAACTTGATCTATCAGCGAATCAATGAACCATGAAGGGTGGGGGTTAATCAGGGTGTTTGGAAAACAAAGGCTCATAGGGCAGGAGAGACGCTACTCTCAGGCACACATCTGTGCTGTTTTCAGTACTTAGCTTTATGGCAGTAGGTTTATGTTACAAAAGTTAAGAGCTTGGAATCATGTCAGTGTCATGTACATTTATAACTATTTTATACAATAAGCAACGTCAAGTATGTTACGCATAAGAAAAACTAATAATGTGAAACAAAGATTTGTTAGCGTAACTATGGATACGCCACAGTTAATGTTACACTAACCAAAGTTAATGTTTAACATTAATAGTATAATTAAAACTTCATGCATGAAGCTGCAGACATTAACATTAAATCTTAGTGTGCGAGGTGTGCTGCAAAGCAGTACATAATATAAGAATGTATTATATTTTAACAGCTACTATATCTTTTAGTTTCAAGCTAAATTTTAGATTACTACCCACTGAAGAAAAATAAATAAATAAATAAATAAAATTAAATAAATAAATGCATTTAAATGCTCAGGGCCAAAAAGTTAAAGGCTTTCTAATATACTTTTATTGAATGTCTACAAATGTCTATTTAGAGTCATATCAAATCTAAATTATTG